TGTAACTCATCTATGTTCAAGTTCGGTGAACGGAACATACGTGAGGCCGTTCATGACGTGAGGCCGTTCGTGATCAGTAGAAGATGTGGCGAGGAGCCTAGTAGGAGGTAGTTCTCTCTCACTGACAGGCGTAGGGCCTAGTTATCCTCCAAGGCTCCAACGTTTTTTTTCTTTTTTTTTTATAAATTTATTTATCCGCCAACATTTTGACTGCTTCTGACAAATCCCCTTTTTCTTGTCCCCCCCGCCAAAGAAACATGCTCCAGTCTATTGGTGGGAAGCAACACCTGCTGCGAACAGGCCCCCGCGTTCCTTATGAAAATACAGAGAACAAATTGAAGTACTGGGGCCATTACCTGGCTTGGGCTGAGAACACTCAAGAAATTTCAGGAGCTTACAGTTAAACCATGGCGTTTAAACCACCAGTACCTTTCCCAGCCAAACTTGCCAGTTTCAACCACCAGGACCTTTCCCAGCCAACTTGCCTAAACGCACCTGTTAACACGGAGGCCGCACTCGGCCTCCGGCGGCGGCCGGATGCACCGCCAAAACTCGGTGCGCAGGGCCCGCCGCCCATAGCTGGGAAAAGTAAGGGTACTTGCAGTTTAATGTGACAGTCCCTTACATTTGGACAAATTTGATGTTCAGATTCAATCAAAATTCTGGCGAAAGGCGAGTGGTGCAAAACTGCAAGTAGGAACTTGGTCTTTTATTTGTCTACTAAGTCTTCTCTTTGTTGTCCGTTTGCTGGTTTTTCGTTTTTGGGGAAACTACGTGGGAGTCACAAAAAATGAGGCATAATTGCACTATGGGCCAAGATACAATTTCGAATTGCAGTTTGGGCAACGTATACATCCCAGCTTTCTGGCCAGGTAGGGTGCCTGAAGTGCAATTGCAAACTGTATCTTGCCCCATAGTGCAATAATATTTCGTTTTTGTGACTCTACTGAAGTCACCCCAAAATTTCATAACACAAAACAACCCCCCGAGGTAGCTTGAGATGCTGGTAGGAGCAGACACCTCTAGGCTTTAGCTACTCCTAGGGGAGCTGCACCTATTTGTGGGGAGCTGCACCTGCTGGGAAATGGGCCCAGTGTCCCCTCTTACAAATCTCAGAGTTTATACACAGGGGAGTGCCTTGCTGGTTCTACTGAAGGAAGCTGCTCAGCCTGTCTGATTGGACGCTGGACCCTGTTTTTCTAGCCTGCCCGAAGCAGGGTAGTGGTCCCAGTGTGTGACTTTAGGGGATGTTTTTGAGGTTTCCAGGGGCCGTGCCCCGATTGTGGAGGTTTCAAAGGTTTGGCACCAGTTCCCATCTTTTTTTTTTTTTTTGCCCATCTGAAACATGTTCCAGGCGAAAGTGTCTCCTTGGAGAGGCGGGTAGTGGCCCAAGAGAATGGCACGCCAATCCCACAGCCACTGATGTCCGGGAACAATTTGCTGCCACACTCTATCCCACCATCTCCAGGTTAGAACTGCTGTCGGGCATCGCAAAAAAATATGTTCTATTGTTTCCGCTCTCAATTTCGTTGGGAAGCCCGACCGACAGCGTGAACACCGAGGGAGGGCTCGACCCTGCTGTTCCAGATGCGAGTGATCGATCAACCAGTCGTTTGTTGGCAGGCAGCGGTGCAGTATCTGCCACTGTAAGGATGTAATCTTTGCCGGTCTGCACTTAGTGTCGCTGAACCACCGAATTGGTGTGAGGAGCTGTCGATCCACGTTGAGATGCCTCTGCCATCTGTCGATCACGACCTCTTTCAGGCACCGTTTGGTTCTGATCTTTTTGTAGGTTGCTTTCTCAGCAAGGTCAGCCAATGCTGTGGAGGAAGATTGCCCAGGTTTGTGTCATCCCTCGTGGGTCCAGATCCACTCTAGTGGATCTATGGGTAGGTCTTGTATGGCCATCTCTGGCATGAATGCCCTTTGGTTCTCCCCATCCCCAATGATCCTAATTCTGTATAGGGTCACCTTTGATACCCATTGGAGGGGGTCCCGACTTCCCACTAATGGTCCACCTTCCTTTACCTGATACCACTCTATCAGTACATCCTCTGATCGAACTTGGTGAACAAAACCCACTCTATCTTTTACCCCATCCTTGGACACCCTTTCTTTTTTCTCTTTCTAAACAAACACAATCCTCCAGTTATGGGGCGGTTACCCGGAGTGAGTGATAAGAGCACTCCTGGCTATCAACCCAATAGTGAGGATGGCTCCTTCCTATTGGCGGGGAGCTGGACGTGCTGGAAAGTTGTGGAAACAGGGTCCAGGGTCCCTTGCAATTGCACAATATTCAACAGGGGGTACCTCCCCGTATAGTATGTCTTATGGGCATGAGACTTTCAGACTGGATGGCAGGGGCCCGTGTGTACCCCAAACCAGAACTAAACCTCCTCAACTGGGGCACTGCCCGGGGCCTCCTTTTCTTTGTTTTTTTGTTTGTTTTGTAAAAGGGGAACAAAGCTCCAATCCATTGGTTCATGTTGGAAATATAATGTGACTTTGTAGGGGAAAACCAACAATACTGGAAGGACAGAGGGAAGATTAGGATGCACCCTGTCGGCACCCTGCCGGCTACCGTCTTCACACGAGTAGAATGTACGGTCATTATAATGGCTGCTTCTGGGGCAACTTTCGGTCCAGATTCATCAATGATAACCGTGGATCCCATCTAATCATCTGTCCTGGTTGGGACCTCCAGCTTGGGGCTGTGCCGTACTAGCAGGGGTTTCGGTTATGTTTTGAGTACCCACCTGGGTTTCCAGCAGTTGCAGTTGCTCCCTCACTTGGGGCCCAGTTGCACTAGTCGCCATGCGCCAAGTTTGGCCAGTAGGCGCCTGGTTGCACTTACTCGGTGCCAAACTTGGAGAATGCAAAATGCGTCAGACGGCTCGCCACACCATAGACACAAGTTGTGGCGAGTGTTTTCGGTTTCCCCGCCTGTGCACGGCGGTCTGTGAGGGTGGTCCTCGGACCTATCCACAAAACAACTTTCTGGAGAGTGCACGGCTTCACGAGTAGACTTCAGGCAGACAAAAAATTTTAACTTTTCTGTAGAAGAAATATAGTGGCGAGTAAGTGCAACCAGGCCTCGAGTTCAATACAATTCTCAGAGTTTATACACAGTCCACGCATCCGCTACGAATTGTGACGGATGGCGAGCAGTGCAACTAGGCCCTTACCAAGGGAACAGAAGTCGCACAGAAATGAAGTGGCCAGGGCAATCCCTGCTACGTGTCCACGCTTTCACTAAAAACATACGGTGGTGTATTTTTCCGTGTTCTCGCAGAAAGAGTAGTGGAGTGGCCCATAATGAAGAAAAAGAAAGAGAAACAGAAAAGAGTGGCAGCCCCTAATTTCAAAAGCACCAGTATGTTTCCCGGCCATTTTTTTTTCAAAGTCGCGGCTGCGTGTATGTATACATCCCCTACTCTTGGGAAGTACCGGGGCCAAAGAGAAACAGAAAAGATTGGCAGCCAACCACCAGTACGTTTCCCAGCCCATTTTTCGGAGTCCCGGACCAGGTGGTGTGTATACAGAGATATTACAGAAGCTACTCTCGGGAAGTACCAAGTACGGGGGCGCCTTTTCGCTGGATAATGTGTATACAGAGATATTACAGAAGCTACTCTCGGGAAGTACCAAGTACGGGGGCGCCTTTTCGCTGGATAACCATCATCCGGGCAGAATGGCCGCATGCGAGGCCCAGTTTGCCTGGATGGATGAGACCCATTTTGCCTGGATGGATATCCAGCAAAACGACACCCGCAGGTGCTTCCTGAAAGTTGCGGCTGTAGACCAAACAGCAGCATATTTGATGTCTTGGCAGGGTAACATATTGGTGTGGTTTAAAAGGCTTAGTTAAAACAAAAAGAACATTGTCAAAAAGAAAAGAGAGATTCTGAAAAAGAATGCCACCCCACTGGGGGACTTGATGGGCTAATGGGCCAGGTCCCACTCGCAGGGGTTAAGAGATTTAGGCCTTAGATAACAAAGGCTGGATGGTGAACGTTTTTCAATCAGTGGAAGTGGGACCTGGCCTCAGTGGGAAAGGTCCCACTGGCAAAGAGGATAAAGATATAATGACCAAGTGTGGATGTGTTTGGGAGAGGTGCAGACTCTGCAGAGCATGAAGGTTGATCTTCTTTTCCGCAACTCTGCATAGACACACCTCCAGATGCAGAGCGGAAAAAACTTCAAAAAAGAAAAACAAACAATGGAGGGAGGAGGGGGTGCACCAGAGAGAAATGTATAGGTGGGAATGAGAGGGGCTTCTTGCTTAAACAACGAAAGCAGACGAAGAAACCCGGCGAAAAGGATATGAATACAACGTCCAGATTCAGGCACTCAATCTAATCTTCTAATCTTCTAATCTTCTAATCTTCTTTGGTAGTGCACCTCCCCCCCCCCCCCCTTACTAGGAGGACCTCTGTTTTTCTTTTTCCTGATGGGTGATGGTCCTGGGTGGTCCACAGGGGTGTGACCGGGGTAATTGATGAGAGGGAGGGTGGTTGGGGGTCTTCTGAAGGTATACAAAAAAAAAGAAGAAAAAGGGAATCGTTGAAAGAAGATAGAGCCAGTGGAAGATAGACCAGTCACTGGCCCTATCTTCTTGAAGTTCTTCTTCTTCTTCTTGAAGTTCATCTTTTTCTTCTCCTTTTTTCAATCTCCTCTCAATTTCACCTTTCACTACCTACCTACCTACCTACAAGGCTACTACTACTTCTAAGCTTACACAGGGGAGCCTTGCAAGCATACCTCCTAGTACTTCTCACTCCTCTTCTTCCTCCGATTCTAAGACTTCTTCTTTTTTGTTGCTTTCTTTCTTTCTTTCTTTCTTTTTTGCCTTTTCGTTTCTGAGTCTCTGGGTATGAATCGTATGATCGCGTAGTAAGAGATCTCCACGATCATGTCGATAAAATGCAAACAGTGAAATATAGCTTTTATTAAAAGCACGAGTTTTTATTAAGTCTTAGAGCAAAAAGTCACGAGGGAAACTTAGGTGTGTGTGGTGGTATGCTGTATATATATATAGTCCTGTTCGGTCGTCATAGAGTGATCGTGTTTAATCAGCTAAGTGACGGCCGGAGTGCGTGTGCATCTCGGAGAGGAGAGGTGAGTGACGTCGGCTGCAGCTCAGAGTGCAGTGTCGTGACATCATCCCCTCAGCTTGAGGACAGGTGATCGAATCCACCATAGCCCGACCTTGACGCCATAGCCGTCAGCTTGAACGGAGATAGTCTGCCATTCTTTTCTTTCCCCTTCGCCCCCCTCCCCCTCGCCCGATCCATGGTAATCTGCGGTTCCGCTTGTCCTCAGTTCACTACGCTAGCTGCTTTTTTTTTTTTTTTTTTTTTTTTTTTTTTTTTTTTTTTTTTTTTTTTTGAATCTCAATTTAGCTTCTTTTTTGAAGCCGACAACCTTCTCGAAGCGGGGACAGAGCGACTTCTTTTACTTAATATTTTTTTAACTAAGTAACTAAATAAATAAATAATCTTTTTTTAGTGAGCAATTCTGCTTTCTCTTGAGTCTCTCTGCAGTACAGGCGACTTTTCCTTTTTGTTTCCCCCTTAACAACTGGCTTTTTCGACTATACTGAGACTGTTTTTTCTTCTGTTGTCCTCTTTGTCTTTTTGCTCGTCAGCGGGCAAGTGCACTCTCTGGCGGGCATCGGATTCCTTCTCCATTCCGACTCGTAGTTTGGCGGGAAATAGCGATCACAATGGCGGGAATTAGCGATCACAATGGCGGGATGACGAGGGGTCACACGTGGCGCGCCCTCGCTGTTGCCACACTGCTCTTTGCTCTGATCTCCGCGTCGTGCCACGTGGCATCATCCCAGCTCACCGACGATACTTTCACGTACGACCAGCAGGGCGCCGACTGGCAAGGGGCCTGCACCGACCCGACGTCGCGGTTTCAATCCCCCGTAGACATCATCACCCGTAACGCGACACGTGTGGCCTTCCTGGGAGACATCCAAAGCAGAGGGCAGTACACCCCCTCCGTGAGCGGCGTGTCTCTCGCTCATAACAACCACACTGTCGAGATATCTTTCTCTGAGCCAACGAACTACATCCAGTTCCCGATGCTCAACGTGCAGCCGTACAACAACTCCGTCACGTGGCCGGTGAACACGTACACACTGGCCAACTTGGGGGCGACGAAGCCGCCTGTGAGGCTGGTGAGGCTCGAGCTCAGGCAGTGCCACGTGCACTGGTCGTCGGACCACGACATCAACGGCAAGCAAAGGGACATCGAGTTTCATTGCGTGCATACGGCGCAGGATCCTGCCCAGAGACCGTCTGTCGGGGTATGGGGGGTGTTCTACAACAGGGGCCCAAAGGGGTGCAAATGCGATCCCATGCTCGAAAGTATCTTGTCCGCTCTGCCCATGGTCGTCAAGCTGGCGCCAAAGGTGAAGATGCCAGTAGCGGTGAGCGGCTTCTCGGCGGCCCGGTTCTTCCCGCGGGACAAGACCTACTTCCACTACTATCCCGGGAGCCTCACCACCCCGCCCTGCTCAGAAGGACTGCTCTGGTACGTCTTCAGGCAAACCAAGCCTATCTGCCAACGGCACTTCCAGCTGATCACCGATGCCGTCACCGCGCTTAACGGGAGAGGAGAGCAGAACTTCAGAGATCCTCAGTCACTGGGCGGCCGAGTCATGTACCAATGGAGCGGCAAGTAGGGAAAGTGATTGCCAGCTTGTGCGTCACAAGCTCCTGTTTCAAGATTCAAAGGTGGTCCTTACGTTCACGGCGTCACCAGATTCCCGGACCTTCTACCATCCCAAACACGTCCTCGCCTCATGCCTCAAGGAGAGACTACTCTCTCGCTCTCTCTCTCTGAGACTGCTCTCTCTCTCTCTCTCTCTCTCTCTCTCTCTTTCTCTCTCTCTCTCTCTCTCTCTCTCTCTCTCTCTCTCTC